ACATACAATATCTAGGAATTAGCTCTTTTACATTAGGAAAATTGATAGCTGTCCCTGCTAAACTTCCCACTAAGATAATATCTTAAGAGGAATAATCCAAAGGTTTTAATGTTTTTAATAAGTTAATTTTATCATAAATAAAAGATCACTCAACTGTTTTGTTTCTTCAGCTTGATAATTTAGTCCCTGATTTTCATCACGGTATTCTTTATATGTTTTTGTATGTCTTAAATATTGCACAATAAAAACATTTTAAGTAATAGAAGAGGAACTCTTCAAGCAGTGGACGGTGGTGTTTTTCTTAGTTAAATGATGAATTATCAAATGCTTGCTCCTCATGGAAGCCTCTTAAGGAAAAGTTAAAACTTTGAATATGTCTTATGAGAAGAGACTGACATAGCACAAATCACTAAAAAACTTCCACCTAATAGTCTTCCTGGTCATTTTCATATGGACCAAATGTTCACTCTAGGGCCCAACAAGTATTTGTTTCCTGCATGTATTCAATCTTCTGGAATTTGATATTTCCCACAAGGTTTGGTAACAGTGTCCCAAAGTCAAGGTGACAAAAGAACTTTGCATTAATAAAGACAATTTCAAGCCATAGTCAAATTTGGAGGGAATAAACTATCCCTTTTCCTTATACTTGGAAGTCTTTTTAATATGCATGTGCCTAAGTTGAATAAAATCTCCTACGCAGGGGGGGAAATACAACGCTCTGCAGTGTCATTTGCATACAAAAGTCTGCCAAAATTTTTCAGCCAAAATATTCAGTTTAAAACCTTAAAAAGAAATCTATTCCCATCACTTTGCCTGCCGACTGAGTATAAGAAGGTCAAGGCCAAATAAATACAAGGTTTCTGAGGTCAGTGGCAAGGATAGCCAGAGATCTGAATAACAGTGATCTGAAAAGAAATGGAGGAACTGGTTGGGGAGTCTCAAAAAGAGAAGGGTTGGAGTGGAGATGTGATGGGCATAACTTCTTCAGGCTTAGCACTGAACCCGGTCAGCGTCGTAAATCAGTATATGATTGTTGAATGAAGAATGAACCAATGAATGAACTCAACAAGCTCACAATAGAGAAGTGGTAGTACAGAAGTAGGAGAAAAGAGTAATTGATGGCAGAAATCAAGGCCTACTTATTTTTGTACTCCTGGTGCTTGATACCATGCCCAGTAAATAGTTGGTGCTCAATTAATATATGACTGGATTAGGATTACAGCGTAATCACTGACCACTACATTTAAAGCAGTCCAATAGTGGAACAGGCTGCCTCACAAATAGTGAGCTCTCATTTCCGTAGAGGAAATGAGAATCACTTCCACAGATTCTACTTTGGGCCAGGATCTCATCCCAGCAATGGAGCCAGAGGCTAGACAAACACCAGCAGAGATTTTGGAAAAAAACTCTGTGTCCCTCTCAGCACTTCAAAGGTCCCTTCCAACACCCAAAGATCAAAATCCTATGTTATATTACCAAGCAAGGGTACCTATTAAAGCCTGTTGAAACACCACAAAAATTTTTTCAGTCGTTTGTTAAAACCCCAAAGGCATTATCAGGACTTCAGGACAAATATCCTAGAGGTAGCAATGCCCCCAGCAACAGTGAAGGGTTCTCAGTCTGAGAAGCAAAAGCTGTAGTGTAATTAAGAGCTTACCCTCACCTTTAACCAGCCACTTCCTCAGGGTTCTAGTGTTTCCAGTCCTTACAGAGTACTTTCAAATCAGCAGTCTACACTGTCGTAGTCTCCTCGTACATACTGATAGTAAAACAGACGGCACCCCAAAACATTTCCACATGCACAAACTTCAAACGTGTGTTCGCATATCTTGCAGTATTTTTCCAATGCCACTCACAGCCTATTAGTGGGTCATTAAATTAACTTAGTGACTCCCAACCAACATATATTTTCCACAAATAGAATGAAATGGAAAAGATGGGCTAGAACAAAAAATATCAGAGTGCCTTACATCGCAGGAGTACATTGTTTCATGATAAGTTTGTTTTAGAAATATAAATGTTGTTATAGATATACATGAACATGTAAAACAGATTTCTAATTGCAGGTTAAAATCCAAAAAGTTTGAAAGCTTCTGGTAGAGAAGATCAGGAAGACAACATCAATAGTTAAGAGCAAAGGCCGGGCGTGGTGGCTCACGCCTGTAATCCCAGCACTTTGGGAGGCCAAGGTGGGTGGATCACGAGGTCAAGCAATGGAGACCAGCCTGGCCAACGTGGTGAAGCCTTGTCTCTACTAAAAATACAAAAATGGGCTGGATGTGGTGGTGGGTGCCTGTAGTCCCAGCTACTTGGGAGGCTGAGGCAGGAGAATGACTTGAACACGGGAGGCAGAGGTTACAGTGAGCCAAGGTCACACCACTGCACTCCAGCCTGGCAACAGAGCGAGACTCCATCTCAAAAAAAAAAAAAAAAAAAAAAGAGCAAGGGCTTTGGAGTTAGACCTATCTAAGTCTGAATCCTAATTCTGCTACTGATATGCTCAAAGATCTTGGCATGTCACTTATTCCTTTGAGCCTGTTTCCTCACCTATGGAATGGGAATGCTATACAGTACAGCACCTGATGTCCAGTAAACAATAATAAGTCTCCTATGAAGTCTCCTATGAAGATACCAAAGCTGTGGGCACCTAGGATCTCAGGGTTGCTCTGGGCCTGATTATCCACTCAGATCTCTAAGGAGGACTCCCAGGATCCATTTAGAAAGATTTTCCCTTACTTCCACAAGCATGGCCTTTGGCTCGTAAATACCTGTGCTGGAGTTTTGTAATTATAAAAACAACATGAACCAAAACTCATTAATATTGGACTAAAAACCAGAGGGAAGCTTCTTTCTCACAACAGGGCTCAGGCCTAGGCAAATCTAGTTTTCTGAAATTGCTAGCCAGCAACAGCACTGGGCATCAGGTGCTGCACTGTATATAGATGGCCATCCCAGAAACAAGGCCAACTCAGAAGCATCCAGGAAGGCTGCTAGAGGTTGAGACAAAGAGATACTTGCTGTCCCTATAGACCCCATGACTTCCAAGGAGCTCCCGTCTCACCCAGCCTGGACTGTCTTCTCCACAGGGTGGCCAATCATCAGCATCATCTTTGATGTTGTTGCCAAGGGAACTCAATGCTCCTGCCCTCCCTGTCCATCTCCACATGAAAGGAGAGGTTAGGAAGGAGGTGAAGGCTGAAAGCATTGGGAGGACACCCCAGCACAGGAAAACACAGAGGCATGTGAAGCCAGGGAGAAGGCCAGTAGTGCAGACAAGAAATGGAAGAAAGCAGAAACAGGAAGAGAGACAAAGAAACACGGAAAGAAATAAACAAAAATGCAACCAAAAAAGGTTTTATGAAGCAAACCAAAAAATAAGATCATAACGAAAGGGGAGAGCAGCAAAGAAAAGTAATGGAAGAAGCTATGAGGACAAGAGACCATCCCTAGGTTATAAGCTGCTTGGTTCACTGTTCCTTTAGAGGGGGCAATGCCTGGGCACTTCCCAATCCTCTGGGACGAGGGTATGCAGTGGTGGGAGGAGCTTTCTCCACTCCCATTGTCCTTCCCCTCCTCAGGTCTGGTCCATCAGGGAAACCTAGGACACAGGCTCAGGGACATTTGCAGAAAGAAGCTCCGGAGGCTGTCAGATTTCAATACATCCATCCTGCCCTCCACTGCCAGGTGCCACCTCTAGTGTTCCCAGGCCTGCTCCTTTCTCCCCAGAGATGTAGCTTCAGCTGCCAAGCAATTCCTGTCTGTCTTGTCATTCTCAGTTGCCCTTTCCCTAAGCTCTGTGTGTTTACCCCGTACCTGACACATTTGGGCACCCCAATCTTTTTCTAGAAGTCTTTGGGGCTAAACTACACTTTTTGCCTTTCTAAGAACTCGGGAAACAAAGAGCAGAGGCCTCAAACTGTGGCCTGGTCTGGCATCCTGGGAATATCTTGCTTATTTGCAAAGGGAACTCCACCCTGTCTCTCTGTCTTCTCTTGCTGCCCGCTTCCGTGGAGGGAATGGGTGGCTATGATAGGACTTGGCCTGGCACTCTCTCCTTCTATGGACTATACCTATGTCTTCACTTCCAGATCACATGGAAGAGGCACAGTAAGTACTCAGAGAAGATGACCCAGTGAATCCCAAGCCATTAGTGAGGGGCATGGGCCTGGACCAAGGCGAAAGCCTGATTCCAAGTCCCTCCCCCTTCTCACCACCATAGGACTCGAACCCACATCTACATCCTTTCAGCTAAAAGGAGCAGGAGCCAAACTTGACACTGTTTCCTAACATGTGCTCCTACAGCAAAAAGGCAGGGGTGGCTCTAGAGGGAGAAAAAGCAAAGAGGGCACTTCACAGTGCAGTGGTGAAATCCAGAATCAGAAAGTCTCCAGAGGGGGAGGCTCCAGGCATCCTCAGGTCTGTGGAGAGAGCAAAGGGTCCTAATGGGCAGGCATTCTGAGTGAAACCCCAGTGTCCAGCCCAGGAAGAGCCAGATGCAAGGGGGAGAGAAGCCCACTGGTGGCCAGGCCTGGCTAGAAAAATAGGAGGCACAGAATGTAGGCCTCTGCTGGGCCTCTGGCCTGTCACCTGGGCCCAGAGCGACTTCTTGCTGTGCCACACCCACTGGCTGCCATGTTCACTCCCCAAAACCTGAGATTTCCCTTCAAAACACAGATGGGGTATGCAGGAATCAGTCCAGCCAGCCAGTCTGGCTCTGACGTTCATCGAGGGTGCAGCCTAAGTCACTCACGGCTCCCTAGCTGCCCTGAAGGCTGAAATACAGAGCATCTTTGAGGGCATCTGCTCTATCTGTGGGAAGGGGGACAAAATGCTCAAAATAAAATAAAAGCAAGGGCCAGGACCCAAAGGGGTCTCACTCCCTGTTTCTCTGGACTCTCTGTGGGGTGCCTTTGTGCAGGATTTCTGCAGAAGATAGTCCATTTTGTTAAGCCTTTGAATATTCAAATTGAAAGTATCGCGCAATCATTGATTGTCAAATCATGGGTTTCTAGAGGTTTTAAATACTTGGCATGAGGGGGAAAAAACTCAAACCTATACCCGAAGGTATAAAACATTAATTCTGTTTGTCTCCTGCTCCAGGGACCTGGGTGCAGCCGGATGCTTTGTGAAACTTTAAAAATGTTGCATCTCTGCTTCTCTCCCTGCCCAGGAGCCCTCCCAGGCGCTGAGTCCCTGCAGCTGCAGCATCCAGCCACCGACCCAGCTCCTGCTGACCACGATGTCGGGTAACTCGGTTGCTTCTCCTGGGGTCGGGTCAGGCAGGCCAGGGGCATTTCAATCCGGGTGTGTTTCCACAGCTTTTCCTGCATAGAACAGAGAGGCACAAAGTCAAGGCATGCGAGTAAGGGCCGGGGATCCCGAGAGGGCGCGGGCCACGCTGTGGCCGCTCCCACTCAGCGTCTGTCCCGGAGGGCAGAGGCCCAGAGGCCGAGTTGGCCGCTCCGGACGTCCGCGTACCCCAGGCCCCCGGCCGCGCTTCCACTTTTCCGCTGTTGTGTCCTTGGACTTCGCGGCGCGGATCCTGAGCGCCCAGAAGCGGCAACGCTGGGAGCTAGAGGCTCACGGTGAGCCTGGGACCGGGACAGAGCGCGCCGGCTGCACTGAGCCGAGCTGTGGCGGTCCCTACCCGGACCCCAAGGGACGCCCGCTGCCCGCAGAGCCCGGAGCGGATCGAGGAACTGGGTGGCGGGGCGGAGGTAGGCTGGAGCGAGGAGAGGGCGCGGCGCGTGGGCCCTGCGGGCGGGGCACAGGATTCCCTGGGTCTGGGCTAGGAAGAGCGTAATCCCCTTTCCTGGGGAGACCCTAGCTCCTGGAACCCGGCTTGAGGGGGATCCCTGCTGTCCAGCTGCGGGCCCCGCAGTGACCAGGCGAGGCGCTGGCATCCAGGCACTATCGCCAGGCGCCCAGGCTGAATGCGTGGCCACCTCCGGCCCCCGCGCCCAGCTCCTCCCAGCGCGATTCCTGGGCGCTCCCTGCAGGGTCGAGGGCCGAAGCCGCCCCGGACTCCTGCGACCACCTTCACCTTGAAAGCTCGCCCGGCCTCGCTTGGCCTAACAGCAGGTCCCCGACCTACTCACTGCGGCTCTTCGGGTCCCGGGGCGGAGGCTACCCCTGCTCCCCGCTCCCAGGGTCCCTCCCAGCGAACCCCTCAGGCGCGCGCCAGCCAACTCCCGCGAGCCGGGGCAGTCCGGCCGGGCTCTGCCAGCCCCAGGGAGGCCCCTACCGAAGGGCAGTCTCCCCGCGGAGTGCGCGGTCCTGGGAGCCCGGGATGGCTTTTCCCGGCTCACGCTGCTCGGACTCGCCCCGGAGCCTTAGTGCGCCTCGGAGAAATTCCTGCCCCAGAAAGGGAGGGGGTGGGGAGAGAAGGGAAGAAGGGGAGAGCCGGAGCGGGGGCGAAGGAGGGAGGAGGGCAAGATGGAGCGCGGAAAAGGCGGAGAAAAGGGACGAGGGAGAGCGGGCAGAAGGAAAAGACAGAAGGGAGAGAGGGAGGGAGTTCCTCCGAGGCCTGGCCCCTTTACTAGGGTCAGTCTGGCAGGTCCCTCACCGGCCCAAGACTGGGCTGGCCAAACCTCACCACTTGCCCTTCCAGAGCCAGGGCACGCAGAGGTCAGAGCCTGTCCAGAAGCCACACCTGGCCAGGTGGAGAAGAAAGGGACTCCGGACTTCCACACCAGTGGCAACATCACAGTGGGGTGGGCTAGGTCAGCCGCCATAATCAGAGACAGCTCCCTGGCCCAGGCCTGGCCCCTCCGCAGGTCCATGATACCCTCTCGGAGGGCTGGGCTCAGAAGCGTAGGTTCCCCGACTTAGCCAGAGTGGTGGGTTATGGGGTACTGATCACATTCCAGAGCAGCAAAACCTTGTGCTATCGGCCTAGGACTGAGACCCAGCCAAGGGTGGATGGTCCCCCAAATTTCCATGGGTTCTGTTCCCACTGGGGCCCTGAAACCTGCTCAGCCACTCTTCATTCTTTCAAGTTTGAGGTGTTTGGGTTTTTACCATCTTTTGACATTTGTGTGTGTGTGTTCTCTGAACTTAGAAACTTGGCTTTGGGTTCTATCGCCTATAAAAGGGGCCCCCACTCTGCACCCTGACACCCAGACCTTGGACTCCACTGACTCAGTTGCCTTTCTCCAGAAAAACCAAAGGTATATCAAGGGGTCCGAGTGAAGATCACAGTGAAGGAGCTGCTGCAGCAAAGACGGGCACACCAGGCGGCCTCAGGGGGAACTGTGAGTATAAACCCTTCCTTCCCTCGCCAGCCTATGCTGGACCTCTTTCAACCCTGTGTCTGCAAGGTGTGGAGGCCACCCAAGTCCCCACGCCCTCACTATCCCCAGACCTGGCCTTCCTCCACTGTTCCTATGACTTCTGTACCCAGTTGCATCCCAGTCAGGAAGCCACAGAGGACAGCTGGGACATGTTGTGTGGCTTAGTATTTGGGGGAGCCCATTCATTCCCCCATGGATAAAAGTAAAGTATAAAAGATGTGTTGATCCTCTGCAGGGGGAGGAGCAGCCAGCAGGTAAGTAGACATCGTTTTGTCAGGAAGACAGTGTATGTATATATAGCTATCACAGACCCATAGAATTTCTCTCCCAGAAATTCACCTCATTTTAGGAGCCCCTTCCAGGATAGCATCTGTGTACATCCTCCCTTCCCTCTTCTTTCTTCTGGAACTCACCCTCTGAGATCACTTGTCTGTAAATCATCAGTCACCTAAAGTGGAGTACAGAACCCACTTCCTTAAAATGTAACAAAGCCTTAAGTAGTTCCAGGTTATTACAAAATTGAACGGAGTGGTCATAAGGGTATACCCTGACACTTTATACACCTTCTTGCCCCTGCTCCCAACACAGTAGAACCTTAGTAACTACTACCAAAAGCACTCAGGGCAGCAGCAGAACCAAACGAACTAGGTGGGATTATTGCCCAAGAAAGGGCAGCTCATCCCTAAAAACCCTCGACTGTACGATTGCTTGGGGGTTGGCTTGGGTGTGGACGTAGGATCTGACAGCTGGGGCTCGTATTGCCTATGTTAGGACTGGTCCTTCTCCAGCCCATTGGCATCTGCCCCACAACAGTTTTTGTGCCTGATACTGTTCATGTGCAATGCATGACATCATGAAATAGGCCTTTGGCAGTGGGACTTCATGAAATGGGAGGGGGCAAATGATGTCATGGAGGTAAACACTGATTCCAGAACCAGATGGACTGGGTTCAGGTCTCAGCTCCTCCATGGTGTGTATCCTCAAGCAAATTACTCAATTTGTCTTGACTCCATTTACTCATCTTCATATTGGGGATGATGGGATTTTGTGAGGGTTAATCGAGTTATTGCATACAAAGCCCTTGGAAGAATGCTTTCCACATAGTGAAAATAAATCTTCAATAAATGTCAGTTGTCATTATTTGAGAAATAATAATATTATTTGGAGAAAGCAACTAAAATAAAATTCTAACCAAGTGTTGAAAGCCAGCTATTTAGTAATGTTCATTCTCACCCTTTGTTCAGAGTTTAGAGTTCAGACGTGAACCAGCTGCAATTTGGCATATACAGCACATGCAGCTAGAGAAGTTAGGACCTCTATGTGCAGAATTTCCAGTAACACATTAACAGTCCCTTATGTTTCTAGAGGGCTTCAGCGTGGTTCTATTTCAGTTAACCAATATTTCATTTAGTTTTTATAACAACCAGCAGAGGTAAGTAGATCAGAGATCTGTACCTCAATTACAGGTAAAATTCAAAACCTTGAAGTATCTCATAGCTAAGCTAAAAGTCAGACTAAGGCCTTATTCTTAATATAACATGAAAAACTTCCATTGGCTCTCTACACTCTAAATTCACCATTCTGCAGATCTGACCATACTAAGCAGGTGTCTGATACCCTTAACCCCTTCAGTTCAGAGATGGTTATATAATTAATAAAACCAGGTACAAGGGAACTGGAAAATGCTTTTGGAGAAAAACACCATCAAGACGTTCATAATAAAATACAACCTTTCCTGAAGGAGCTTTGGTACTTCATAGACTTCTGCTCAGCTGCACCTGGAGAAGTCCCATGTGAGTGTGGCACTTCCATGGCTGCTGGGCCCTTACAGATGGGTCTGGCCACTATTCACTTCTTGGCTCACTACAGGAGCTAAAGCCAGGGTAGGACATTTCACTTGTGTATCTGGCCAGTTTCCGTTCCCCAGAGTAGTTTGACTTACTTAAATTTTTCTGAATTTTCTCCTGAGAAATAAAGCAGGACTTCTGAGCCAGTGTCTTACAGGAACCAGCAGAGTAAAGCCTGCTTCACTTTGCTTCCCAGAAGACTGTATCAGCCTCGCAAGCACATAGGAGTAACATGCATATAATTTAATTACAAGAGCCAAATGTAAAGTCCCTCACTGGAAGCCATCAGAAGGATCTGGGATTCTAAGGAAGCTGTAAGAGCGCACTTAGTAGGCAAGGGTAGCAGGTGCGAGGGGATGACATATGTCCACTTCTTAGTGTAGACCTTTCTGGTATAACAGAGATGATCTCCAATTTGTTCAATTGTTTAAGGATGCCTCTGGGTAACTTTAAGCCAAGCAAGAGAGTTAATTGTATCAAATACTACAAAGCAGCAAGAAATCTATCTTAATTTGTTGTAAAGTCAGAGTAGTATCCACAATTGAAATTTTAAGAAAGCAATCATAAATGGAAGTTATAGGTTGAGACAGATATTCAGTGAAGAATTCAAATATTCTTCAAGGAGTGCCAGAGAAACTGTGTGTATGCCAGATTGAAACACTCGATTTTAAAAAACTTATTTCAGCCAGATCAATTTGCAAACACACACGAACACATACACACACACACACACACACACACACACACAAACACACACACACAACACACACACATTTGCCTTTAGGGTAAAAGGAAACTTGAGTTAGTCGTTATCAAAAGATATCATTTACATTTCTTTTTTTAAATCATTAATTTTTTAAACAGCCTTGATGTGTTTTTTTATAAATTGTAGATTGTGAATTTTCGTGCTGTTGAAATCTAAGAGAGAGGTGCCTTTCTTTGTGTTATTGGAGCAAAGTAGAAAGTGAACCCATGACTAGAAAGATAATATCAAGTAGGATAATGTAAACACACCTCAGGGAGATAACAGGGGGAGGAGCAGACAAACAGGCCCAATCCGGGGGAGGAATGGGGTTAAGGAAAGCTCTACAATGAGGCAGATTTTTTAATACCCACTCTTTCCAAGTCCTTCAGCTCAAGCTGCAGCCAAATATTTGCATAAAGAACTGCTAAAGGATTCCAGCTTCCTGGTTCATGACATTACAGCATGGATCATTTTCAAAATTAATACTGCCTTCTGTTTCAGCAGTGGCTGCCTGCACAGCTCTCCCTGTGGCTCAGAGTAAGGGAGTGAGTATCCCTGTAACCCAAAAGAGGTGTGGTGAGCTTGGCTTCCCAGCACAGAATCACAGAGCAATGCAGGTCCCTTTAAACTTTAAAGCCACCACCTGAAATTAAAAAAAAAAAAAATCCTAAATTACTCGTTAGTATAATTGTCAACTCAACTGAAAAATGCAGGCTGCTTTACTTTAAATAGATTTTAAAAAGCAGTCTCATAAACTTTAAGTATTTAAATACAGTAGTTCAAATAAAAGCAACTTTTACAGAAAATAGTACAAAACATGCAAAGTACTGGAATAATTCCCAGCCATTAACTAGAATGTAAGTAGGTTCTGACTCCCCAACTACAGCCTTAAGAAAATATTCTCTATTTTAATATTTCATGTATACTAAGAACATGTGAATATTTTTAGCTACTCAGGATTAACAAAGTTAGGAATTGTGTTCTTTGGAGAAATGAAGCCCTAAGGCTGAGTAGCCAGATGGTATATGAAAATTTTGAGAAAAATAATTGAATAAGCCATAGAGAGTTGGGATTAAATGAATGTTAGTTTTTATTAATTTTAAATTGAATAGTTTAATAGGATACTTTTGCTGCATTTTCTCAAACTGTTACATTTTTGCCTCATAAAATTATTTGCATTAATTTATTAGTCAAAATTAATCGCCTTTAAAATTTAAGTGGAAGAATCTGATATTAGGAAAAAATTCCCCAAGCAACATAAACATTGAATCTAAATAAAACGTAACATTGGTTGTATTTAAGAAGGCAACTTTTCTGAGAAGGAAGAATCTGGCTTACCTTATAGCAGAAAGAAGCATAGTCGTCATTAAAATGTCTTAGCTTTCCTTTGAGAGCTTTGCTTTCAGCCTGCTTCACGGTGATATTCTTGCTTTGACAGCGGTCCGGAGGCAGCAGTGTCCACCTTTCAGACCCAGTTGCACCATCTTCTGCAGGTCGGTACAGCCAGCATTACAGTCCCCTCAAACACTCTTTCAAAAGGCCATCTCGAAAGTCTTTCAGTGCTTGATTCAGGGGTTAAGATAGGCACCACCATTTAATTGGAATTCAACCAATCAGAAGGTGAAAAAGGCATAGCCACTCCACATGCAAGCCCAGCAAGGAAACAAGCGCAAAATGTCCTCATTTCTGAACTCTCTACTCTCTGCTCTTTTGTCCCAAGAGTTTGTTCCTCACATTTATTCCAGTTCTTCATTGCCAGGTAACTAAACTGAACTACAAAATCAGAATTGTTCTCAGGAACTTATCTTTTTTTTTTTTTAGTGTACTATTAGATGGAATACAGAACATCCTGAGGCACTAGAATAATGCCTTTGCTCTGTTCCTTTAGTTTCCAGCTGACAGGGGCTTCCCTCCCCTTCTCTCTTCCCAGAAAGCAGTTCAAACAAGTGTAGGTTTTCTCAGCCCAATAAGAATAACTCAATTACATAAACACTCCTACCTCTGCTACTCAACAGCTAAGAGTTTAAGGAGGTCGTATATAAGGAAATCTCTGCCTATGGCTGCTCCTCACTAAATGCGTCACTGTAGCTTCACTTTAAAGGAACTTGACACCTCAAGAAGAACCCAGTGTTGTTTAGTCCCTTTGATGAGCACATGCTAATCCTCTCTTCTTCCAGCATTTACAGATAATTATCACAAATTGGGCCTATTAATAATAAAATGGAAAAAGAGTAACGTTTTCTGATTATTCTTGACATTTAACAAGACATTTACTTTGACACATTATGTTAACGTATTCACTGAGAAAACATTTTGGCTTTTTGTAATATCGAGCCAATAGTGCTAATTGGTACTCTACGTTCCTGGCTTCCATGATTATCATTTGCATTCCCATTTAAATCACTTCTCAAAATTCTCTCCTCCTAACTTAAGTTACTGAGTAAGAGTGAAAAGCTCAGAAAAGCAGTCACCCTAAGTCAAGAGAATTATTTCCCATAGCATCAGAAGTCTTCTCAAAGACTCAACAGCTCTGCCAGTTACTTGTGAGAGGTTTACGTGAACTGCTGGTAGGGGCTGGATGTCGATGGTTTCAAAGCCCAAGAAAGGGGAAGCTTGAGCCATTACTTGACTGTGACACTTGGACACAGATTGGGTCACCATCCTTTTATTTTTGCCGTAACCACTTTTACAGCCAATTTCCACATTATTAACCACGTTCATTTCCCTGGAGCTTGAATCCGCTAAGACAAATAAAAAGTCCAAATTGCATTCCTGTTTACCTTTCTGGACTTGGTAAGCCCTTTTCCCCTTAGACATAGTAAATATTCAGAGTACAGATCTCCATTCAAATCTATGTTTTGCAATTTTTATGCAAAAACCTGTCTTTTTCCTTTCTCCTCTAGGACTGTATTTTGAGCCTGAACCAATTTCTTCCACGCCCAATTATTTTCAACCTCGAGAATTTTCCAGCTGTGTTTCATGTGAAGAAAACTCAAGCTGCCTCGACCAGATCTTCGATTCCTACCTTCAGACAGAGATGCACCCGGCAGAGCCTTTGCTCAATTCCATTCAAAGTACTCCACACCATTTCCCAGACAGCTTCCAAGCCGCCCCTTTCTGCTTTAACCAGAGCCTGGTAATTTATCTCAGTTTTCTATATACCTAATTTTTGCTAACTATGGGGTAATAGTGCTTTGTGAGTTTGCACCATCTCGTGGGAAATCATACAAAAGCTACTCAGCAAGTAAATCGTCCAAGGAAACAAGCAGAGAAGAATTTAAAAGTCAATGTATAAAGTAGCCACACACTGTAGGGAATAAACCTTTGGATACACACAGAATTTAGATTTCCCAAGTAGATCACCAGGTAAGTTGCTGTGTAGCAATAAAAAGAGGTTCCTGGCAATATTCATTTAATGTTTTTTAAACTGTGAAGTCAAGATACCTACTAATTGGAAGTTAGTGGTTTAAACAATGGCTCTTGGATTTTTGGATGGATTTTGAGTTCTTGAAAATGGAATTAAGGCAGTGTACATATGGTACCAAACTTCATTGCATGGGTGGGGGTTGCTTTGTTTTGTCATTGAACTGGCTAACTGATGGTTTTAGTCTGCTGTAAACACAAGGACTCATTTGGGTCTGAGATGGTTAGTAAAAATGAAGACCTAATCTTTGAAAAAAATTAGATTGACTGTTCTTAATGAATCTCAAATGTTTGAAATGTGTTATCCTTCAAAATGAAGGAAAGTTTTTATTAGTGGAAACTAGTTATTTTAGTTGTCTTTTAGAGAGTCACAGGTTTTTTTTGTAAACCTTGAATTGTAACGTTTTCTTTTTTAAGGAATGTAAATACTTTTCGCTTTTTGCCAAAGGTCTGTGTGGGCATCAGACTGAATCTTAGAGGGGATAGAAAATTAACTCTGCAGAATATGCACATTGTCACGGGGAAAATATGGGGACCCAGTGACCCAGTTCCTTCCCAGCCTCCAAGTTAGGTTTTCTCATTAACAGTTGTTGACTTGCTTAAGAGAAAACAGACAATAGCTCTCACTCAGGGGAACAAGACTTTAGTGACCAGACACGTAGTGACTCATCTTGGCATATCCTGGGGATAATCCAAGATCCTTGAGGATCCAAGTTCTGCCTTTGCACGTTCACCTGATTCTCCACGGTGAGGGTGTGGAGAAACATCCAGAGTGCCACCTGCAGCTTAGATTGTGGCATACGGCAGGGTTTGATGTGCAGGTGACTTGAAGCACAATGGGATTTTGTGGTTTCAGAACAGAGCACCCTCTAAAGTAGTATTATAACAAAGGAAACCAGTGAAGCAAGGCAATGTATTGTTGGGAAAGAAATAGGTAACTATAGAATGTGGTGTCATGAAATCATGTAGTCAGCAAATAAAATTACTTCTGCAGACTTGGGTTGGGTGTTGTTTGGTTTGGTTTGGTTTTTTACCTCTAATTTTCTCACTCTGCATTTATAAGTCCACACTGTTCAGTTCCTTTGATCCTATCTAAGTTATCAAGCTCTTTGTTTCTTGGCTGTCGTTTCTCTAGATCCCGGGATCGCCTTCAAATTCCTCCACTCTCTCTGGCTCCTTAGACTACAGTTACTCACCAGTTCAGCTGCCTTCATATGCTCCAGAGAATTACAATTCCCCTACTTCGCTGGACACCAGAAACTGTGGCTACCCCCCCGAAGACCATTCCTACCACCACTTGCCCTCGCACGCCCAGTACAGCTGCTTCTCCTCAGCCACCGCCTCCATCTGTTACTGCGCATCGTGTGAGGCAGAGGACCTGGATGCGCTCCAGGTGGCACAGTACCTCTACCCGAGCACAGACTGTGTGGACTTTGCCCCCTCAGCAGCCACCACCACTGATTTCTATCAGAGGGAAACAAACTGTGACATCTGCTATAGTTAATAGAAATTACAGTAATTCGGAACATGGCATGGGTATATCTATTTTTCTACCACGTCTAGATGACACTGCAAAATATGCAACTTGGTAACACAATATCCCAAGAACAGTTTACATGTCACTATTCCCAATTTTCTGATGCAAACCTAGCCATATGAAGTCCTCAAACCGGGTCATAGTGCCACTCCTACTTTGTTTGCTCATAGTTTAAATTTTTGTAGACAACTTTCAATTGTTTTACCTTTTTGTGTAACGAACAAATGCTCTCTCCTTTTTTATTAATAAATAATTTTGTATTACTAAATGTTGGATATTTTTTATTTCCAGCAGTCATTTTTAATTGATTTGAACATTAGCCATTAATTATGGAAATTGCTAATTGCTCTCAAGTGGTTTAATCTTATGGATTCGTGAATTTAAAATTATTTTCATTTGGGTCAGGCATGGTGACTCACTCCTGTAATCCCAAAACTCTGGGAGGCTAAAGTGGGAGGATCACCTGAGGTCAGGAGTTCGAGACCAGCCTAACCCACATGGCGAAACCCTGTCTCTACTAAAAATACAAATAAATTAGCCAGTCGTAGTGCCACGATCCTGTAATCCTAGCTACTCAGAAAGCTGAGACAGGAGAATCACTTGAATCCGGGAGGCAGAAGTTGCAGTGAGCCGAGATCAGGCCACTGCACTCCAGGCTGGGTGACAGGGCAAGACTCCATCTCTCTCTCTCTCTCATATATATATATTCATGTAAAATGCTGTGAGATGCCTTGACTTTCATGGGATGAGTGTAGGCACAGCTAGCATGGTGGAAAAGGGAAGCCCTGCCTCACCTCTAGAGAAGAGGGTACATCTTGGAGCAACACCAGAAAAAGACATTTATGAACGATTAGTTTCTCTTATCTAACATTAGTCAGTGAAGTGTTAGGATGACCAAAAAGCACATGTTGCCTACAGCTATGTTAGCCCTGTAGATCATTCTTTTTCCTTTCGAAAGCATTGCTTTGGAAACTTTCTGAGCAAATAGTTGAACTTCTTTTTCTTGAGAGCTGCCATACAGTTAATGTAGCCCAAAGTTTAGAGGTCATTATTTTCTATTTCTGAATTTTTGGCTTTAGAAAGTATTTAAATATACATCACTCATGTTTACACATTGATTTGTAGGATTGACTATGTTGTTTACACTGAATTTTAGAGTTTACTTCCTCTGATTAATCTATTTGAAGAAGCCCAACTGTCTTTCAAGGTAAAGAGGAGTTATTCAATATACCTATGCTGGATTAAACTGTTGAATCTTGTTTGCTGAGGGCATTAAGGCACAGGACTTAATCCCTGAAATGAAGTCTGAAGAGCCTTAGCCATGTCTAAAGTTCCAGTACTGGAACTTGGCATGTCAGCACTACTGGTACCTTCAGCACTGGCCACAGGTACCATTTTCTGAGCACTTCCTATGTGCCAGAATTATCTAAGGGTGTTCTCACACATTATCTCATTTAATATTCATAACATTGACAGCGAAATGAGGAGTGTGAGGCTCAGGGAAGCTAGTTTACCTGTCCAGTGTCACCCAGCCAGGAGGCACCCAAGCTTGGGTTGGAAAGATAGGAAAGCCCTGTCCCTTCCTCTCCAGTGCTGAGAAGTTTGAACCACCTTTTGTAAAAGACTGTTCAGGAACCCATGGCATCCTTAAATGCCAACTTTCTCATATACACAAAGGTGTGTCCCAACCATAACTGAGTCAGACCTCGCCAAAAAGGCTAGATTGTCCACAGGACACAGAGATGCCAGGCACAAGAGCTATCAGACTATCAGTACTGTACTCTGGAGACAGGAAGAAGCTGATTCACTGCCACTTCAGTGAGTTTCTTCCTACCAGGAGATGAATATGCTTTGGAAATGTCACCATCTGACCGTCCTCCTTGGGGACTCAACAAAAGCTTGGGCAAACAGGGCAAGTTGCAACCTGCCTCATGGGTTAGTCATGACAGGAAAATAGAACAATCGCTGCCTTTCTGAGATGCCAGTAAAACTAGATTCTTAATGGCTTGAAACCAGCCTCTTGTCAGCAAGTACCTATTCACACAGACCAAAGACCCTTCATACTGTCCACTCACCACCTCACCCCCAGCAGCTGTTCCCCAGAAATAGAGAACAGAGAATCCAAAGATGTCCAATGGTTGGCATTGATATACCCCTTTTCTAGATGCCACCCTTTTTTTATTCCCCATGTCAGTCTTCTGGCGCCTGAATCAATTGTCCTGCAGCTCGAACAGAGAACATTTTCCTACCTTCTTAGGACTTACTCTCCTCGCACACTCCTAGTTTTTGCCTAAATCTAGTGCAGAAAAGGATTCAGGGAGAAATGTGAGACAAGGGCGAGTACAGTTCCAGTGCATCACGATGTATAACTCCACCTTAAAGCCATCATTAAAAACTTGCCAGAAATTTGGTCCAGTGGGTCTCCTGGTGCATTCCTAAGTGGGTAGAAGCTGCCCACTCAGTCTCTTAGCTGCCGCAGCTCACACAGACCAGCTGAGGAGCCCTGTGGCAGCAGGCAACACATCCATCACCAGCACGTCTCATCAACATATACTGTGACAACTGGTAAAACCCAGGTGCTTACACCTCTCTGTGAGAAAGAGCAATTCAGTAAGTCCAGGATAGGGCCCAGGCACCTGCATGATCTAAATGTACCTAAGTTGACTATTTTTGTGTATGTGTGATGGAGTCTCACTCTGTCACCCAGGCTGGAGTGCAGTGGCCCAATCTTGGCTTATTGAAATCTCCACCTCCTGGGTTGAAGTGATTACCCTGCCTCAGGCTCCCCAATAACTGGGACTACAGGTGCATGCCACTACACCTGGCTAATTTTTGTATTTTTAGTATAGACAGGGGTTCACCATGTTGGCCAGAATGGTCTTGAACTCCCGACCTCAGGTGATCCTACCCACCTTGGTGTCCCAAAGTGCTGAGATTACAGGCGTGAGCCACCGTGCCCAGCCTGAATATATGTAAGTTAATTCTGATAGAGATGATCTTATGTTTACACTTGAAAAACGCTGACATAATTGTTTATGTGTCCGAATTGTTTACTTGAAGGACCAACAGCACAATAATAATAGCTTACATGAATTAAGCTCTTTCTATAAGCCAGTGATGTGGAGATTATCTCACTTAATCCTCAAAAAATCACCCAAGATATATATTATTATTGTCCTCATTTTTACAGATGATGAAGCTGAAGTTTGGAGAGATGTGATAACTTGCCCAACATCACATCTCTGATATACCAGGGAAAGAGTTCTCTAACTCAGGTGATCCAGTGTTACTGTCTGAACTTCCAATAGCTTCAATATACTTTCCATGCATTATACCTGGAAGAATAACCTTCTCTGTAATTTTATCTTTTGCCTTAAAAGTCACAGATATATCTACAGCCAGTTCCTCATACCACAAATGCATTTGATAACATTATAAATGGAAGTTTACATGAAGAAATATATTTTGTTATTCAGAACCATTATCAAAATCAATAATCCAAATGTGAATTTGGTGCTTACTGTATGCAAGACTGATTATATGTTACATGCCTTTAAAATGCAAAGCCAAAGGTTAGAAAGGGATATAATTTTTTAAATGCAAAACTATGAGGATTTCAGGTAGGATGGGCATGGACTGATTTAAAAATTCTTAGAAGACTTTAATTAGGAGTCAACTCTTGAAGCTTGAGAGAGAGGAGACAAAGCTGAAGGTAATAAACATTGGGAAACTATTACCTCAAGCAATTGCCAGAGCATGACATCTCGGCAGCTGGCCTAAGCCAGCAGTTGAACACTTAGGAGCAAGGTATAGACAGATAAGGATAATTGAAATGATGAAGTCAGGGACGGAAGAGTACCTGTGAGTAAGAAATATTTTTAAAAATCACTCTTAGGCCTGGTGCAGTGGCTCATGCCTATAATCCCAGAACTTTGGGAGACCCAGGCAGGTGGATCACAAGGTCAATAGATCAAGACCATCCTGGCCAACATGGTGAAACCCTATCTCTACTAAAAATACAAAAATTAGCTGGGTGTGGTGGTGCATGCCTGTAGTCCTAACTACTCAGGAGGCTGAGGCAGGAGAATCGCTTGAACCCAGGAGGTGGAGGTTGCTGTGAGCTGAGATCATGCCACTGCACCCTAGCCTTGTGACAGAGCAAAACTCCATCTCAAAAAATATAATAAAATAAAATCACTCTTTACTCTAGAAAGGTGAAAGCTGAAAAGGTTAGGATCAAAGCCAATGAAATTATGAATAATTGTATTAAAGTAAGCATGAACTTACCATCATTTCCAAATCCTCACAACCTATATAACTAACCCCGTAGCAACCCACTGGTAAGGCTTTTCTGAGCAGCCCCCTTCACAGTTCCCCCCTCCTCTTACAGGTGACAGTGTGACAATGCCTTGCTAATAGCATTATTTTGTCATTGGGATATCTCAGAGCCCTGGGGGCTAGATTTGAGGGTGGCCAGTGGGTGGCCATCCAGGGTCAGGTGGCTCTGTTCTTCGAGACAGAGTAATAGACCTCATTTTCTATGCTTCTATAGGCCTCTGGGAAAGATGTAGAGGCTGGAAGATGAACAAATATGAGACAACACAGCTATGCATGATAATAAAGCACCAAACTCATTGAAGACAGGAATCTGCATCCATTAGGGGTCATACTTCAGAAAAGTTTATTTTACTTAAAATGGATAGAGAACATACAGTTGTTATTTGAGAAATATGGAAGTGTGTGTGTGTGTGTGTGTGTGTGTGTGTGTGTGCGTGTGTAGTCTTTTTCAGACAAACAAATGCTGAGATAATTCACCACTAGAAAGCCAGCACTACAAGAACTGCTAAAAAGAGCTCTAAATCTTAAAACAAAAAAATCCTGGAAAAACACCAAAACAGAATCTCTCTAAAGCATAAATCTCACAGGACCTGTATAACAAAATACAATTTTTAAAAATCAAGGTATACAGGCAACTGTATGGTGCTTCACATCTCAATATGAATGGTACTTCACATCTCAATGCTAACGTTGATTATAAATGGCCTAAATGCTCCACTTAAAAGATACAGAATTACAGAATGGATAAGAATTCACCAACCAACTATCTGCAACCTTCAAGACACTCACCTAACACATAAGGACTCACATAAACTTAAGGTACAGGGGTGGAAAAACACATTCCATGCAAATGGACACCAAAAGTGAGCAGGAGTAGCTGTTCTTATAACAGAAAAAAATAAACTTTAAAGCAACAGCAGTTAAAAAAAG